AGGAAATATGTATATCTATCATAGTTAAATGTATGTCATACTTTGTCTATGATATGCATGTAATCATATAAGTCATACATATATTAAATTCTTTTATATCGATTTTATTAGTCTTATCAGATGCTTATATCAATTATAGCCTATATCTTATGTAATCATGAATGCAACAACTTTCGTCATTGAATCACATATAATGAGCTAAGAAGCTCAGCAGGTAACCAAAACTCTCTATTTTCTTTTAATGCAAGGCAAAAAAATTAATATGTATGTAATCATTTAATCACTATCAGTATGAATGTATAACTATAAAAGTATGTAACAATCAATGAAATAGTAATAGATAATATGATCAATAAGTATCAGTGCAACTAGAGCAGTGATTAATAACCAAGTGAACATATATAAAAGGTCAATAAACTTTATTATTTATATACTCATTTGTTAAGAACTGTTATATATATATCTTAGTTTAGGAAATATGTATATCTATCATAGTTAAATATATGTCGTACAATGTCTATACTATGCATGTATATCATATAAATCAAACATGTTTATATCGATTTTACTAGTCTTATTATATACTTATATCAACTATAGCCTATATCTTATGCAATCATAAATACAACAACTTTAATGTGATGTATTCATCCTTTCACCCCAATTATAGCCTAATTGGGTCTCAATCTTAATTTAGGTCCAAATGTCAATTAATTGGTATCGGTTAATCCCAATTTGATATCAGTCTTAATTTGACCCAACTATTAACCAATTGATATTAGTCTTCATCTTTCATGTTAATAATTAGCCTTCCATCCTGTCTCCCTTGCTTACATGCAAATGCCATATTTTAATCAATGTCATGTATGAAATGCAATAATTCATAAAATATAAGAAAATCTAATAAATTTATATATTATGCATTTACTTTAAAAAATCATAGCAACTAATTCAATCGATAAAAAATTAATGTATTCATGTCAAAATGCTCATATTGATGACATCTATCACATACCAAAAGTTATACGGTGAAAGATTTATCAATACAAAATTATCCTCAATTTTTTGTAACAAAAATAAAAATTTGATCGAAAAAAATCAAAAAAATAAAAAATTATTGAAATCATAAATATGATAATAGAAGCCAATAAAATATATAAAAATAAGAAATTATTCAATTAATTGATTATTATATTTTTTTGATTCTACATGTTCATCATCTTGAATGATTACCAACTGCTAATTTCCATATTATTTTGGATAAGGAAGGATTGTAGTGGCTTCGATTATATCCTAAGTTCAATCATCATGCACAAGGACCCATACTCCATGTCATGTTCATCTTGAAA